AAAGAGAGTTTGGGAGCCTTCTTTTTTCTTGGATATTTTGGAAGTGTCTGAGAAGATCAGGGGTTAGCTCTTCCTTAAATGTTTTCTAAAATTCTCCTGCGAAACCATCCGGCCCAGGGCTTTTGTGTGCTGGGAGTTTTTTGATTACTGCTTCAATTTTACCAGCTGTTATCGATCTGTTGGGAGGTTATATTTTTCTAGAAATGTGTCCATTTCATCGAGGTTTTCAAATTTCTTGGCATATAATTTTTCATAGTAATTTCTTACAATCCTTTGCATTTCTGTGGTATCAGTTGTTATTTCTCCTCTTTCATTTCTGACCTTTTTTTGGGTCCTTTCCCTTTTTTTCTTCATGAATCTGCTTAAAGGCATGTAGTTTTTTTTTTAATCTTTTCAAAGAACCAGCTCCTGGATTTGTTGATCCTTTGAATTGTTCTTTTAGTCTCTGTCATTCATTTCTGCTCTGATCATGATTATTTCCTTCTTTCTACTCACTCTGGGCTTTGTTTGTTGTTTTTTCTCTCGTTCTTGAAGATGTAGTGTTAGGTCATTTATTTGAAATTTTTCTCCCTTTTTCAGGTAGGCCTGTATTGCTATAAACTTCCCTCTCAGGACTACCTTCACTGTTTCCCTGAGGTTTTGGACTGTTGTGTATTCATTTCAGTTTGTTTCCAGAAACTTTTTCATTTCTTCTTTGTTTTCATTATTGACCCATTCATTATTTAATAGCATGCAATTCAGTCTTCATGAGTTTTGATGTGTTTGAGTTTTTTCCTTGAGGTTTGTTTCTAGGTTCAACCCTTGTAGTCCGAGAAAATGCTTGTTATGGTTTCAGTGTTCTTGAGTTTGTTGAGGCTTGTTTTATGTCCTATCATGTGGTCTATTTTTGAAAATATTCCATGTGCATTTGAAAAGAATGTGTATTTTGCTTCTTTGTGGTGAAAAGTTCTATATATGTCAGTTAAGTCAATTTGATCTAATGCGTCGTTCAGTTCCACAATATCCTTGTTGATGTTTTGTTTGTAATATCTATTCATTGTTGTCAGTGGGGTGTTAAAATCCCCTATTATCAGTGTGTTGCTTTCTATATCTTTCCTGAAGTCCTCCAAGATTTTCCTTATATATTTGGGTGCTCCTTTGTTGGGTGCATATACGTTTACAATGTTTGTCTTCTTGATGGATTCTTCCTTTGAGTATTAAGAAGTGTCCTTCTCTGTCTCTTTTTATGGCCTTTGTTTTGAAATCTATTTTGTCTGATATAAGTAATGCTACGCCTGCTATTTTTCCCTGTCCATTTGCTTGGAATATTTTTCTCCATCCCTTTACTTTCAGTCTGTGTAGGTCCTTTGTTCTGAGATGGGTCTCTTGTATTCAGCATATGTGTGAGTCATGTTTTCTTATCCATTCAGCTACCCTATGTCTTTTGATTGGAGCATTTAATCCATTTACATTAAAAGTTATTATTTGATAGGTACTTATTCATTTTTTCCCTTTGTACTTGTGTTCCTCTTTTTCTCCTTCTTTTTCTTCAACTTCTTAAAGCAGTCCCTTTAGTATATCTTGCAGTGCTGGTTTGGTGGAGGTGTATTCTTTTATCCTTCTCTTGTCCGGGAAGTTCCTTACTTCACCTTCCATTTTAATTGAGAGACTTGCTTGTTAGAGTAGTCTTGGTTGCTGGTTATTGTTTTTCATTACTTGGAATATTTCTTGTCATTCCCTTCTGGCTTGTAGTGTTTCTGTTGAGAAGTCAGCTGCTAGCTGACTGGGATTCCCTTGTATGTTACTACCTGTTTGTTCCTTGCTGCCTTTTGGATTCTCTCATTGTCTTTGATATTTGCCATTTTAATGATGATATGTCTAGGAGTGGGCCTCACTGGGTTCCTATTGAATGGGGACCCTCTGTGCTTCCTCAGCCTGTGTGACTTTTTCTCTCTTCCAATTAGAGAAGTCATCCATCATTACTTTTTCAAACAGGTTCGTGTCCCTTGCTTCTCTTTTTTTCCTTCTGGTATTCCTATTTTACAGATATTATTACGTTTCAGGTTGTCCTGCATTTCTCTAAACGTGTATTCATTCTTTTTGAGTCTCTTTTCACTTTCTTGCTCTTTCTGGGAGCTTTATTTTGCCTTGTCCTTCTGCTTGCTGATTCGATTCTCTTCTTCATCTAGCCTGCTTATGATTCCTTCTACTGTGTTCTTCAATTCAGAAATTGTATTCTTCATTTCCTCTTGGCTCTTATTGATAGTTTCTATGTCCTTTTTCATGCTGACAAAGTTTTCAGTAATTTCCTTGTAGTTTTCCCGTAGTGTTGGATAATTCTCTGAGCTCAGCGAGCTCATTGAGCTTCCTTAGAACCATTGTTTTGAACTCAGTGTCTGATAGTTTACTTGCCTCTATTTCATTTAGTTCTCTTTCTGGGGATTTCTCCATTCCTTTCAATAGGGTGTGTTTCTTTGTCTTCCCATTACTTAGTTGATTCTCTGGAAGTAATTGGGTTTTGACTGTTGTTTGGTTTTTCTTTGGTGGGGCCTACCCTCCAGCTGTTTGTGGGTCACTCTGCCTACCACGTCTTGTGTGTTTTTATTCAGGTGCTGCCAGAACAAAACCACAAAGCCCAGGAAACAAATCTGCAAAAATAACTCCACTCTGCAATCCCACTATCAAAAGCAAATGAACCAGTATTAATAAGGCTGTAAGGAGCTGGAGCCTATTATAAGAAAGGAGAGAAATAAACCATTAGTATAAAATCTAATGACTTAATATGCAAAAACTTGATGGACCCGAAATGAACATTAAAAATCTATGTAGTAAAAAAAATATCTCCAAATTGGAGAAGACCACAGTGGATTTTGTCTTGGTAGCCTCTACTATTTACCGTTGTTTTTTCTTTCTGGATCTGCCTCTGAGGATGTCCGATGTTGACCCTGTCTGATCTTAGGTAGTCTATTTGAGACTTCCAGGAATTGACTGTCTGTGGCTGCCTCCTTCAGCTGTTAATCTAGTCCCTCAGCAGTCAGCAGGCTGCCTTAGACACCACAGGGTGGGGCAGTGTCCCTCTTAGGGGAGGGGTTATTGGATCCTCTCATGCTGCTGCCACTCAGTGGAGTGGTCTGCCTGAGCCAGATGGCTGCTGCCATATGGGGGATGAGTGAACACCAGGACCCCGCCGGCTACTCTCTCCCTTCTCTCCCCAAAGCCTCCATTTCCAGTCTCTCCTTAAGTGTCTCTAGGCCACTCTGTGCCCCCTTTAGCCATGTATCTACTATCTGTGGCTGCCACTCTGTACTCAGTAGTCATGCTTTAGCACTACCAGGCCAGCGTCAAGTCCCTCCTGGGGCGGGGCTATTCTGTCCTTTCACGCTGTTGCCGCTTTGGGATGTGGTTTGCCTGAGCAAGATGGCTGCTGCTGTATGGGGGATTAGTCAGCACTGGGATCCCACTGGCTACTCTCTTAGTTCTCTCCCCAAAGCTCCTTCCTCAGTCTCTCCTCTGGCGTCTCCAGCCCACTCTGACCCTGCCTTTGTCGGAGATGTGGGTAAGTGGCTTCAAATAAAAATTTGTGCATTGGCCCTTTAAACAGCTCTTTGCTTCTCCAGCCGGCTGTCTGGCTAGAGCAACGCTGCTGCTTTTCGCAGCTGGCTGTCATCTGTGTACTTTTTGGGCTGTGGTGCTGTAGGTTGGAGATCCCCACTTATAGTTTAGATCCCACTCTTCTCAGGAGGATCCAACTGGCCATTTCAAGGTGCCCTGCCTGCCTTCTCAAGTGTCTACTGCTCTTATCAGTTAGGTTGTGCTAAAGCTGATTCTTCTGTCTGTCCGAGGTTATAAGGCTCATCTCTCACTATTGTTCAGTTGTTCGTTCCAGGTGATTTCTCTACAATTCAGTTGTAATTCCAGATTGGTCTTGGGAGGAGGTCAGTGTAATTTCCACTCACTCCTCCTCCATCTTGCCAACCTCCATGGAGCTTTATTTTCAGGAATGTGCTGGAGTCTCTTAAAATGCCTAGAACTAGATGTGGTTAACTTTGAGAAAGAGTGATAGAGCCCATGAAGAAAAGGTGAGAGGCAGGGAAGAGCCTAGGTATCCACACAAAACTGATTCCCTTGGGAAGGCACAGAAAAATACTTTCTGGTTTACTGTTCCAGAAAATGAGAATAGGGCCATTTGGACTTCTTCCTCGGATGTCATTCTTCTGTATCCTTGGACTTTTTACTCTTTGTAGTCTTGAGTGAAAAGTCTGGGATGATTCAGGGAGATGTTTAGAAAGCCTGAAATAAAAGCCAGAATGATGGGCTGGGGGGACTTTGGTACAAACCAGAGGTTCAGGTGATGGTTTTCTAGTATCTTGTACTAGATTAGTGATAATTGTTTGCATAGACAAAAAAAAAAACCCATAGAGAATGACAGTATCATGAGTTATTACGGTTAAGGAACAGAAAGGGCTGAGGCAGTTCAATTCACAGGATTTTACTTAAATATAAGTTGTATGACACATTAAGTGCATATAAATTATGCTTGGATAACTGTAGGTCTGTTCCTTTAAAATGTATTTCTTCAGTATGACCTTTTGTTCTTGGGCCAAGTCTTTTCAGTGAGAATTAATTTCTGCAGTTTTAATTGACATCATTGGAAGATATGTAATATTCGTATATTTCTACATTGTCAAGGGTAAATTGAAAGAAAGAAAGCATGATCATCTTTTCTATTATTGCAGCTTGTAGTTAGTGTAACTGGCCAAGGAAAACCAGTACCTGTAACATGAATCAGTAGCTCAGAGCTGTGTAATTTCTATTATCTCCTTGGGTATTCTTTTGTGACCTCCTTTGTGCTGCCAAAATTAGAAACTTTGCTCGATATTATTAGATGCATTCAGATAACCTGAAGAAGAGAACCATCTTGACATTCCAAGTGGTTTTAAGAAGGTATTTTAAAGAATAATAAAAAGTATTTTAAAGTCGTTGCTGAAAACTTAATAAAAAGTCATATATTTAATGTTTAGGTCTCTGAATAAAGATGAACTTGGCTGAGATTTGTGACAATGCAAAGAAAGGAAGAGAATATGCACTTCTTGGAAATTATGACTCATCAATGGTGTATTACCAAGGGGTGATCCAGCAGATTCAGAGACATTGCCAGTCAGTCAGAGACCCGGCTATCAAAGGCAAATGGCAACAGGTAAGGTCACATTATTCAGTGAGTCAGGGCAGTAGTCTGTTGTACTTGAAAGACTGGAGCTTGAGATGTTGTAAATAGTTCTTCTATGTCTGAATACTGAGCTATATTTAAAACATACTCTTAAGTAATTTTTTTCCTGCTCAGTTAATATTTTATATATTTTTGATTATTTCATGAGACATATTTCAAAGATAATTGGGTTGGCCAAAAAGACCATTTAGTTTTTTCTGTAAAATAAAAGACACATTTTTCATTTTCACTAATAATTTCATTGATTTGGATATTTTGAGTATGTCGGCTATCTCCCATATAGTGTAACATTGATTGTTCTCAATTGATGTCTTGATTTGATCACTATCAAATTCAACTCATCTACATGATCATGGAGCATCATCCAGGGGGAAATCTCCAGTATGAAACTTTGCAAACCACTTTGGACATGTTTGATCAGTCACAGCACCTTCTCTCTACACTGCACTAACCTTTTTGCATTGCAGTAGCATTTGTACTCTTGAAATAATAACGCAAAATATGCCAAAAATGTTGAGTATTTTCTTCCCTCTTCAGTATTAAAATGGCTACACAAAAGTCACAAATTTTGATAAGTTTTTTTAAATGCGTGCTGATATGACAGCAGTCACAATACAATCTAACAAAATTGTTTTGAATGAAGTTAAAGACAACTAAGCACTACTAGAGCCAACTTATGGAAAAAAAGCAAATGAACTTTCTGGCCAACCCAACTTAATTCTAATTGAATTGACTTTCAATTTTTAAAATTTTTCAAGATCAGTTGCCTAATTGTGAGTACAAATTTTGGAAATGAAGTATGGCTACTTGCCCTTTCCTGTTTCAATTTAACATGTAATTTTGACCCATTTCTTGAAACTTTTTCTTTAAGAAAGTTCCCTCTTTTCCTTGGCTGGGTGGCTTAGTTGGCTGGAATGTCATCCCATACACTGAAAGGATGTGGATTTGATTCCTGGTCAGGGCACATTCTTCGGTTATGGGTTCAATGCCCGGTTGGGTGCATACGTGAGTCAACTGATTGATGTTTCTTTCACATTGATGTTTCTCTATCCCCTCCCTTCCTCTCTCTTAAATTAATAAAATATATCCTTGGGTAAGGATGAAACAAAAATTTCCTCTCCTTTTGAAAGACTTCTTACAAATACAAAGAAGTCAGTAATCTAATTTAAAGACACTAATATATTTGCTGTCTCTTGACTATACAACTTGATTATGTAATTGTACAGTTAATAAAATCCTGAATTATAACTTCCCCACTTTTTTTAAAATAATTTTTTTAAGTTTTTTCAAAAAGATTTTATTTATTTATTTTTAGAGAGGGGAAGGGAGGGAGAAAGAAAGAGCAAGAAACATCAATGTATCGTTGCCTCTTGTGCACCCCCCATCCAGGACCTAGCCTACAACCCAGGCATGTGCCCTACACTGGGAATTGAACTTGGAACCCTTTGGTTCATAGGCTGGTGCTCAATCCACTGAGCCACACAAACCAGGGCTCCCCACTTATTCTTAAAACTTAAAAGTCTTTTAAAATTAATAGTGCAAAGTCAAGCATTTCTTTGAAGTTTCCATTTTATGTACTAGTGCCTTTTCAGTATTTCTTCTAATTTTTCTGCTAGTCAGAAATTGATGTTTAGTAAATTTTCAGGTTAAATTTGGCTTATTTTTCAACCTAAGTGTTACCAGATTATGTTGGGTGAGAACAATATACTTGCTCTAACTCAAGGTGAAATTTTTAGTTGTTTTCTTCTGCCCTGCATACTAGCCACAGATAAGAGTGCTGTATTAAACTAGCACGGAAATATTTTCGACATGTTTTTAATTGTGTTAAGTATTTGCCTTTGTAATCAGATATTTCTACCATATTTTTTTCTGTTAGTTTCTAAAATTTCATTTCTCCAAGTATATCATATAATTGTGTCTATGAGCAGTTGAATTTTACCGAGGTTTTCTTTGGTTCTTCATCTCCTTTACATGTTCCTTTCTATATAGTACTCAAGATAAAGTTAAGAGAAAGTTACTTATGCTGTGCTAAATGTTCTTTCTGATTTAAAGAAAAGAATTGTTAAACTGAATTTATAAATGTAATTTTCAATCTATTATCTTTTTGCCTTTGAAAATTAGTTTGGGCTCAGAGTTTCAAAACACAAGAATTTCTACATAATGGGTGCTCAATGAGGTTTTCTTTAAGTATAGGAAAAATCTTGCTTTTGAGCTCAAAATAAACTTTACCCAGGACTTGAAGGAATTTAACAAAGCCAAAGTAATTCAGATTTTAGGTGAAGGATAATTTTTTTGGAAGATATTTCCAAGTATGTTAAAAGGATTTAGCATTAATAATACAAGTTTCTGGGATTGGCTAACTTGTTACTGACTTGGTTGTTTATTTTAAATTATGTTCATGGTTATTACATTCCTTGGTAAAAATAAAGTTCCATTATGAAAGGCATATAACTACTTTCCCTATTAAGTGTTTTTTTCAAACCAATGTCTGTGCTGCCCTTGTGTTTATATCACTTTAAAGGGTTCTTTTTTTTTTTTAAGATTTTATTTATTTATTTTTAGAGAGAGGGGAAGAGAGGGAAAGAAACATCAATATGTGGTTGCCTCTCACGTGCCCCCCACAGGGGACCTTTCCTGCAACCCAGGCTTGTGCCCTGACTGGGAATTGAACTGGCAACCGTTTGGTTCACAGACTGGCACTCAATCCACTAGCCACACCAGCCACATCTTTGTTTTTTAATGCATTTTAATGACTCATTTTGCATACTTTGAAAAACATTAAGAAAGCTTACATTCTATGGCAATTTATTATTTGCAATATATAAACTTTAAAAAGTTTTTGATATAAAGGCTATATACATATTTTTTCAAGGTTCGGCAGGAATTATTGGAAGAATACGAACAAGTTAAAAGTATTGTCAACACTCTGGAAAGTTTTAAAATGGACAAGCCCCCAGATTTCCCTGTGTCTTGTCAAGATGAGCCATTTAGAGATCCTGCTGTTTGGCCGCCCCCTGTACCTGCGGAACACAGGTAAATGGGACTTCATGTTGTCTTTAGGTATATCTGTAGCTAGTCAATATTTAGTGTGACGAGAGTGAAGCTTTATTTGAACAAGGGATGAAAAGTCTTTTGAAGGGTGGCATATAAATAAAATACCTGTATAATTTTTATACCTATAGGTTTACAGAGTTTGTATTTGATAAAGAACAGAAGTTAATCATTTGACATATACCCTGCTTTTAGAATGTTTTACTGCTGTGTTTATAACAATAGAAATCTATTAGTCCTAAAATTTATCTGTTAAGTGAGGTCTTTTATTTATTATATTTTTTAGTTTCCTTTGTTAATAGTTCATTTTTTATTCCATTTTTTCCATTACCATTTATTCCCCCATGCCCTCTTTCCCTCCACCCTCCCCACCACAATCAGCACACTGTTGTCGGTGTCCATGAGTTCTTTTTCTTTTTTGTTTGATCCCTCCAACTCCCCAAGCCCTTGCCAGAGCTGTCAGACTGCTCTCTATCTATGACTTTGTCTCTATTTTGCTTGTTAGTTCATTTTATTCATTAGATTCCACATATGAGCAAAATTATATGGTATTTATCTCTCTGACTGATTTGTTTCACTTAGCATAATAATCTCCATGTCCATCTATGCTGTTGGAAAAGGTAACATTTTCTTTTTTCTTTTTTTCCACAGCTGAATAGTATTCCATCATGTAAATGTACCATAGTGTCATCTACTGATGAACACTTAGCTGCTTCCAAATCGTGGCTATTGTAAATAATGCTGTAATGATGATAAGGATACATATATTCTTCTGAGTTAGTATTTTGGGTTTCTTCAGATAAATTTTTAGATGTAGAATTTCTAGGTCATAAGGCAGTTCCATTTTTAATTTTTTGAGGTAAGTCTATACTGTTTCCACAGTGGCTGCACCCATATGCATTCCCACCAACAGTGCCTGAGGGTTCCCTTTTTCTCTACATCCTCACCAACGCTTGTTAATTTATTAATGATATCCATTCTGGCAGGTATGAGGTGATATCTCATTGTGGTTTTAATTTGCATCTCCCTTATGATTAGAGACATTGAGCTTCTTTTCCTATGTCTGTTGGCCATCCTTATGTCTTCTTTGGAGAAGTGTCTCTTCAGGTCCTTTGCTCATTTTTTAATTGGATTTTTTTTTTCCTCATGACATTGTATTTATTCAAGAAAGTGTAATTAGCAGTCAGGTCTCTATATGCCTAATACTAAAAATATTGGTACAGAAGTAAGATCATATATCACAATTCCTCACCTATCAGAATACTACTTCATTTATAGATAAAGAAAACACATATCTAACATAAGCTGTGTAATCTGAAAAATAAGTGAAGCCTTTATATATTTATATAATTATTGTTATTTTTTGTTAGGATTTTATTTTTTTAATTTTATTTTTTTAAATTTATATATCTTGTTTATTCTATTACAGTTGTCTTAAGTTTTTTCCCTTTACCCCCTCTACCCATCCCACCCCCACCCTGCGCTCCCACAGTCAATTCCCACTCTGTTGTCCATGTCCATGGGTCATTCATACATGTTCTTTGTCTAATCCCTTCCCCTTTTTTCCTCCTTCCCCATTACCTCTGGTCACTTTCAGTCTGCTCCATGTTTCTATGCCTGTGGTTTATTTTGTTCATTAGTTTATTTTGTTGCATAGAGTCCACTTATAGGTGAGATCATATGATATTTGTCTTTCATCAACTGGGTTATTTCACTTATCTTAATATTCTCCAACTCCATCCATGTTGTCACAAAAGGTAGGAGTTCCATCTCTTTTGCTCTTTCTTTCTCTCTATCTTCCTTCCTTTTTTTCCTTCTTTCTTAAATGTAGATTCATTTTGTTTATTTTTTAAAATGTCAAAGTTAATTATAAAATATTAAAAAATTTAAAACCATATAAAGTCTCAGCAATTACACCAACATATCACCAGCACAGAAATAATCAAGTAGATCAATGAATATAATGAGCATTCTAGAGACAAACATGTGTATCTGTCTGACAATGTAATATATGATTAAGTTGATATTTCAAACCAATGGGTAAAATAGGCTTATTCAACAAACAAGGTACATGGACCACTGTTACTTGAAATGAAACGAGTATAGAGCCCTAGTTCACACATTATGCAAGAAATATTCAGGTGAGTTAAAAATCAGTATGTAGAATCTAAGGAGTTTTAGGAGAAAATACAAAGTAATATTTTTCTTACCCTGAAGTAACATATTCAAACCCAGAAGCTACAAAGTAAAATATTGACAATATGACTATATTAAACATTTAAGACTATACAGTAATATACGTATAAAAAAAGTTAAAGGACAAGTAATAGAATATGAAAGTATTTGTAACACATCTAAAAAAGGGATAGTTTTTTTTTAGGGATGAAATTCTACAAACGTTTAATCAAAAAATGGATGAAGAATACCAAAAAGTCATTTAAAGCTTTTTGAAAATAATAGAAATAGGCAAGAAATATACAAAAACGGGTTTAGTTTTAACAAATAATAAAGGAACATTTAAAATAACACATCATTGTTAAAATCAGATTAATAAGTATTAAAAATATTGGTAATATCAAGTATTGTTGCCTGTGAAAGGACCTGAGTATTCACAGACTCTTTTTCTTCATCTGCTTAAAGCAGTCCCTTTAGCATATTTTTCAAAACTGGTTTGGTGGAGATGTATTCTTTTAGCTTTCTTTTGTCAGGGAACCTCCTTATTTCACCTTCCATTTTAATTCAGAGCCTTGCTGGGTAGAGCAGTCTTGGTTGCAGGCCTTTTCTTTTAATGACTGGGATTACTTCTTGTCATTCCCTTCTGGCTTGTAGTGTTTCTGTTGAGAAGTCAACTACTAGCCATATCAGGGATCCCTTACATGATACTACCTCTCTCTCTTGGTGCCTTTGGAATTCTCTGTTTGTCTTTGGTATTTGCCATTTTAATGATAGTGAGTTTTGGAGTGGGCCTCATTGGGTTCCTCTTGATGGTACCCTCTGTGCTTCCTGGATATGTGACTTTTTCTCTCCTCCAGTTAGGGAAGTTTTCCATCATTACTTTTTCAAACAGGTTTTCTATCCCTTGCTCCTCTTCTCCTTCTGGTATTTCTATTTTATGCACATTTTTACATTTCAGGTTGTCTTGTATTTCCCTCAACACCTCTTCATTCTTTTGAGTCTTTTTTCATTTTCTTGCTCTTTCTGGGAGCTTTTTTCTACCTTATCCTCCAGCTCACTAATTCAGTCCTCTGCTTCATGTAGCCTACTTTTGATTCCTTCTGCTGTGTTCTTCAATTCAGAAATTGTAATCTTCATTTCCTCTTGCCTCTTATTGATAGTTTGTGTCCTTTTTCATGCTGACATAATTTGCAGTAAGTTGCTTGTAGTTTCCCTGTGGTTTTTGTAATTCTCTCTGAGCTCACTGAGCTCATTGATCTTCCTTTATAACTGTTGTTTTGTACTCAATATCTTATGTTTACTTGCCTCTATTTCATTTAGTTGTCTTTCTGGGGATCCTCCTTTCCCTTCAACTGGGGGGTGTTTCTTTGTCTCTTCCCATTATTGTGAGGCTCTTCTCTTTTTCTTCTGCTTCTTAAATTGATCTGTCTTGATTTCCTGACTTTGTGTTGTGAACTTCTATGGCAGGAGACCGCGGGTTTTGTTTTTTTTTTCCCCTCGGGATCTGCCTCTGATGATGTCAGATATTGACCCTAACTTTAGGCAGTCTGTTTGAGACTTCCAGGAATATACTGTCTGTGGCTGTCTCCTTCAGCTGTTAATCTTGTCCCTCTGCACTCAGCAGGCTGATTTAGAGACACCACAGGGTGGGGCAGAGTCCCTCCTGGGGGCGGGGTTATTGGGTCCTCTAACGCTGCCGCTGCTCAGGAGACTGGTCTGCCTGAGCAAGGTGGCTGCTGCTGTATGGGGGAGGAGTCAGCACTGGGATCCCGCCAGCTACTTACCCTGTTCTCTCCCCAAAGTTTCCATCTCCAGTCTCTCAGGTGTCTCTAGACCAGTCTTCCCCTCTAGTAGCCAGGGATCTAATATCTGTGGCCGTCACTCTGCACTCAGCAGGCCAGCTTAGAGACACCACAGGGCAGGGCAGAGTCCCTCCTGGGGGCAGGGCTGTTGGGTCCTCTCAGACTGCTGGTCGGGGTAGTGGTCTGCCTAAGCAAGATGGCTGCTGCCATATGGGGCTGAGTTAGCACTGGGATCCTGCCAACTACTCTCTCAGTTCTCTCCCCAAAGCCTCCTTCCCCAGTCTCTCCTCAGGTGTCTCTCGCCCACTCTGCCCCCTGCCCCTACCTTTGCCAGAGACCAGGGTAAGTGGCTGCAAATAAAAATTTATGTGTTGGCCCTTTAAATGGCTCTTTGTGTCTCCAGCTACCTGTCGCTGGCAGAGAGCAACTTTGCCACTTTTTGCAGCTCGGCTGTTATCTGTGTACTTTTCGGGCTCTGGTACTGTAGGTTGGAGATCCCCGCTTATAGTTTAGACTCCACTCTCCTCAGGGGGATCCAACTGGCTGTTTCAATATCCTTCTGGTGCTGCTGCCCATGGGTGCCCTGCCTGCCTTCTCAGAACTGTACCGCACTCCTTACCAGTTAGGTTGTGCTAAAGCTGTTTCTTCTGTCTGTCCGAGATTATAAGGCTCCTTTTTTATTGTTGTTCAGTTGTTTGTTCTGGGTGATTTCTCTACTATTTAGTTGTAATTCCAGGTTGGTCCTGGGAGGAGGTCAGTGTGACTTCCACTCAATCCTCCACCATCTTGGTTCTGATCTATTTTACTATTTGTAAAGATTTTATTTACTTTTAGAGAGAGGGGGAGGAAGAGAGAAGGAAAGGGAGAGAAACATCCATGTGCGAGAGAAACACTGATCGGTTGCCTCTCTCATGCCCTCAACTTGGGACCTGGCTTGCAATCCAAGCATGTGCACTGACTAGCAACTTACCTTGCTGCCTTTTGGTTTGTGGAATGATGCCCAAC